AAAGGCTCACTTTCCTGGTATCTCATGGAGTGGCCCTTGGTTGTGCCTCTGCTTGAACCAATCAGAGGATAGAGAGAAATCAACTGCCCCGGCTTCAATCTCATACCTTCTCTGCCATCAAGGAGTGGATGTCAGAGCCAGCTAAATCTCATGGGCTAAGAGTGAAGGAGAGGAATTTCCTCATAAACAAACAAACCAACAAACCAACAAACAAATAAATAAAATGGAGCACTCCTACCAGAGGAAGATTAAAAAAAAAGGGGGGGTGCGGGAGGGCTGAGTAGTTTAAAGCCACCAGTGTACACACCCAGGGCAGGCTATGTCTGAGGCGCTGAGCTGGGTGTCTGTCTCTGGTATAGCATCAATTGTTCATTCATTTGTTCATCAGATGATTTTTCAAAATGAACATGCTGGCAGAAAGTTAAACCTACAGAGATGGGGTATAGGAGAGCTTCTGTGGGATGTGTAGAGGGGGTGTAGCAGGTGGTTTGGAGTCCAGGGCCCCGAGTAGCAGAAAGGAAGCAAAGCCTCAATGAAGGCTAGATCTGGAGCTATGTCATGTGAGAGACTGCCAGAATGAACCTATCTGGCCGAGACCGGTTTGGCTCAATGGATAGAGCATCGGCTTGGGGACTGAAGGGACCCAGGTTTGATTCCGGTCAAGGGCATGTACCTTGGCTGCGGGCATATCCTCAGTAGGGGGTGTGCAAGAGGCAGCTGATCGATGACTCTCTCTCATTGATGTTTCTAGCTCTCTATCTCTCTCCCTCCTCTCTGTACAAAATCAATAAAATATATTTTTAAAAAAGAAAGAAAAAAGAAAGAAAGAACCTATCTGCTTACCCCAGGGAGACTGGTCACAATTATTCATTCACGCACTTCTGGAGGGGCAACTGTGGCCAGCGACTGTGACAGCAGCTAAGGATACAAACATGGCAAGACAGATCTACCTTCATGATCAGCGGGGGTCCACCTTACACAAAGGATAATGACAGTTGTGGTCATTGGTATCAGGGAGAAGCCCAGAGTGTAGCAGAAGAATATACACTAGAGCCGTGGTCAGCAAACTGTAGCTCTTTGGCCCCTTGAGTGTGGCTCTTCCACAAAATACCACGGCCTGGGCAAGTCTATTTTGAAAAAGTGGCGTTAGAAGAAGTTTAAGTTTAAAAAACTTGTCTCTCAAAAGAAATTTCAGTCGTTGTACTGTTGATATTTAGCTCTGTGGACTAAATGCCCTAGAGGACCTGACCATGTGGAGGTAAGGATATGGCAGGGAGAACAATGTAGAGAAGGTGCCCTAGAAAGCAGAACATTGAAGAACGAGGGTTGCTAGGGTGCAAAAGGGTCCTAAAAAAGAAAAAGAATTCTAGGCAGAGAGTACTAGAGCCTGGGGAACATGCTTGAGATGACAGAGAATGGTGCATCCGCAGCTCCCCTGGGAGGCAAGCCAGTGCGGTGGGCGGCAGAGAAAAAGGCTGGGCAAACGTCAAGCGGGAGAAGGGAGCAGGAGCCAGGCCTTACCACGTGATTTGAGCTTTAGGAGAGATTTTGATTTTGATCTGAGAGCATGAGGTTTGTCATCAGGTTTTTTTGTTTTTTGGTATGATCACTCTTGCTGCAAATAGAGGAACAATTGAAATGGCCGAGGATGGTTGGGGAGGGGGAGGGCGGGATACACAGACAGAACATTCAAGGTGATAGTGGCTTGGATTGTAAGTAGTGACAGCAGAGATGAAGAGAAAGCAGCTGTGTTCCAGGGGTTCTTGAATTTCCGAGTTTTGTAAAGATGTCTTCTGCAAAAGTTGGACAGGCAGTACAATTGACTTATAGATTTGTGGACGTTTCACATTTTCATTAGCTGGTTGAATTGTAGGTTTTATTTTCCATGACAGTATTAAATCGGTTGGGGATTAGGCTGAACATAATTGCTTTATGGCCGAGGGTATCCCATTGTAATAAATAAAAGCCATATATCAGCCTGCCAAGTGCTTGATTTAAGAGTGCAAGGCCACTGGGAACTTTACTGAGCCCACAGATTTGGTGACTAAAGTAAAGAAATGGGGCTTTAAACTCTGGTGACCCTGTAGAATGTTCTGGGTCCTATAACCAGCTTGTTTGCTGCACTTTTGATAATCCCTTAAATCGGTTAGAGCTCATATTCTCCTGAAATATATTGTTGGATTGATAAATGGGACGAACAGCTAGGTTCAGATGCTCTACAATGCGATGGAAGCGTTCCAGCTGATGGGGGCCGAGACCCAGGCTGAGTGCACTGTTATTAGTGTGCTCCCTGAAAAACGGCTTTAGAAAACCAAAGCCGTCCTTAGTGGAAGCTAGGATTAAATGTGCTAGGGGTGTGCACCCAAGAGAAGGGTGATACTGAGCGGCGATTGCATAGATAGTCTATGTATGTTCATTAGTCTAAAGGTGAGAGCGTGGGAATAAAGTCAGGGGGGACCTGAGATTACATTATGGCTCTAGCTCTGTCTTTTATACTCTCTGAGCCTCAGTTAACCCACCAGTAAAGTAAATATATAATAATAATAATAATCCTATATAATAAAAGAATAATATCTATGTAAATTAGCCATCACTCTGTGACAAAAAATGGTGGCGCTCATAGCAGACGCTGAAGGCATCACCCAGGCAATGGGAGCCCAGTATCTGCTCCTTGGCTGCAGAGGGAGGGGAAGGGTCTCTGGCCAGAGGACTGGGAGCAGGACAAGCATCTTCCCAGAAGCTGTGTATAAGGAGGGGAGGAACCACACTACGTATTTAATCCTCCTCACAATACTTCTAGGTGGTTGTTGTTATTTGAAAATGAAAAAAATTGATCTTAGAACTATTATGTGACTTGCCCACGGGCCCCCCCCAGCCAGTTAGTGACTAAGCCAGGATTCAATCCTAGGTTGTCTAGTTTTGGAGTCCACTCCTTTTACATCAGATGGTATAATGGGAGGTCTTTCCCAGTGTCCCTGGGCTTTGAACAGTAATTGCTCAAGGATGACATTACCTAACTTTAAGAACTACACTTGTTCAGTAAAAAGTAATCATGTATAGCCCTAGCCAGTTTGGCTCAGTGGATAGAGCATCAGCCCAAGGACTGAAGGGTCCTGGGTTTGATTCTGGTCAAGGGCACATACCTCAGCTGCAGGCTCAATCCCCGACTCTGGCCAGGGTACGTGCAGGAGGCAACCAATTGATGTGTCTCTCATATCAATGTTTCTCTCTGTGTCTCTCCCCCTTCTTTGCATTCTCCCTAAAAATCAATAGAAAAATATTGGATTAACAAGTCATCATATGTAAAAAAATACACTTGATATAAAGTACATTCCTTCTGCCCTCTTGTCTAGTCTTCTTCTTCTTTCTTTCACTTTCCTGAAGTTTCATTCCCTAATCTACAGTCTGAGTTTGCATCATGTCTCACTGACTGGAATGTTATTCTTTAGTTGTGGTTTTATTACTGCCCGTGCTTCTAGACCACTTAGCATTCTTGAATTCACAAGAGTCAAGTGCCCCTACCCCTACTGAAAAGCAATCACTCATATGAAATGCTATGTAGGCTGAGACTCACTGCCCAGGCAGCCTCAGGGTCCCCTGTGATGGGGCGCTAAAGCCCTTTTGTGGGAGGGCCTGCAATTCCTCCCTGGTACTCACAGAGTTGGGAGTGCCTCCAACCACTTGCAGTAAGGTTCTATTTACACATCTCTCCCTGGGGTCCACCTCCCTCCTGAGAAGTTTGGCTTTGTGGGTGGGGATGAAGTCTCATTGACTTTTATTGTCCCAAACAATATCCTGTACAAACTAGAGGCCCCACTGCTATTTGAACTTAGGTTTAAACTTAAAAGGTTTCTTCTCACAGTAATTTTTGTTAAGTGTACTGCTTATTGTGTGAAAGCACTAGTTTAATTTTTCTAGAAAACCTAATTCAGATATTGCTTAGTGAGTAACCGACTCCAAAATGTGTTAAAACTTTTATCCTATTCACCGACACATCCTATTCTGGACATATCCTTTTTTATTCTTTCTTTTTCAATCCAAAGATTCCCTCTGGGTTTATTTTCATTTTCAGAAAGTAATTTCTCCTTATGTGCTTTTCTATATTAATAAAAATAAAAAGACTAAATGCGGGTTCTATTAAATGCATTTGGCCTATCTCCCTCACAGCAGGAAATAGCTTTCCCTCCTCTGAATTCTTGAAACTTGTTGCATAAGCAATATAGTTGGTTCTTTTCAAGTGCTGCCTGTATTTCTACACTTGCATAATTTTCTCCAAGGAGACAATCTTTTGAAGGGCCTCTTGGTCTAGAGCTCAGCACAAAGTAGGAACTCACAAAATATTTGCTGTGAAAATAAATGAAGGAAGGAGTGGAGTAAAACCTGACAATAGATTTCCTGACAGGAGATGTTTATGGGTAAGTCCTTCTAAGAAGCTAAATGCAGAAGTTTTCATGACAATGGTAGTAGCACTAACCATGAGATTTTAGTCTCTTGAGAATCCTGGATTTTCTCATCCATCATCAGTGATTGAGATGTCAAAGTGATTTGGAACGTGGTGGACTAATACCCCCCTGCTTATGGTATTTGTGAAATGAAAGACTTCTATGTAGTAGTGCCTTTCATTCCTTATTCTTTTCTCCAAATGGTTGGATATCTCTGCAAATGTTACTTGAAAGATAACCTGTATGTCAGTTACTTCACTGTCAATGCCAGCCTTCATTAGAAATTCTCTAGTTTTAAACTATTATTTCTTTACATTTTCTTTGAAGGTCATCTTTGTAGAATGAAATGTCAGGCCACAAAAGATGAATTCAGGGCAGCCGATTGAAGAAGTGTGATACTTGAAGGCTTTGTGTCAGTGTGTGTAGAAGTCTGGACACACAATAGGCAGAAGGGTGACATGATGACTTCCAAAGGGACTGCCTCTCTCCTTGACCTGCTTTGACTAAAATTTACTTAATGGAGCTGTGACAAAGAGTAGGAACCAAAACACATGGGGATCACAGAGGCTGTTATGTTTATTGTGCAGAACAGACAGTGATAATCCACTAGAGAAATATTTCCAACAAGCAAGCGATTCAAAGTACAATCATAGACAGCAACTCTACATGAAGAACAAAGAATAAAGTTAGAAGACACTCAAAGGAACAGGGAGAAAGTCAACTGCAGTTCAACGTCTTGATACTTTTCTCCTGCAAACATGCAGAAATGGCAGAAAAGTTAAATGTCCAGTCTTACTTAGCTGAGACCAACAACAGCAAAGAACAGTCCTATAAAATTTATCTCCCACAAAAATAAACTATATATATAAAAATTTTATGATGTTCTTACTGTTCCATTGGCCACAAGCTTTTTTCTTTTCAGTATGAAAAATGAGGTATACTGGGGCTTAAGAGGTAGCAGTGTGTTTTGATTGTACAACATAGAGGAAATAAAAGAGTAACTTCACCAGAGATGGAAATTGCTCGGTTTCCGAGTTTGGCCAACATGAGCAACTGTGTCAGTTTTATGAGCTGGCCAATGAGGTTTCAGAAAGGCCCAGCCAAAGACACGGGACTGTTACTTTTATGAGCCACTGTTTATTTGCTTATTTAATGCACAGTTAACAGCGATGTTGAGTTTTCATTCTCTCCATAGCTCCTCTGGTGATTCACCGCAGTGAGCCATCTGCCTGTCCAAGAGAGGTATGCGGTCTTTGAAGCTACCTCCCTGAAGTGGCTGGAAGAGAGATGGTTTTGGGTTTCATTTGGCTTCAGAACTAAAAGCCACACTGACACATGCCCTCGTGAGAAACTACCTCCTGGCCCAGTTGATAATACCATGTTAAAGAGTCAGCACACGCACTAGGAGAGAAAAGAATAAAACTCTACATAAGAAGCGCTTCAAATAAATCTGGTTGAGACATATTACAAAAATCACATTTGTGTAAAGTACATGAAAATCTTTGTCAAGCATTTCCTCATATTCCACTAATCTTAAAAACACATTATTTTTGATTGCATCGCAAAAGCCCAAGCTTTTTGTCTCTCACCTACAAAGCTTCAAGTTTCTTTGAAGGTTGGCTTCCTTTCATTTATTTATTTGCAAAAGTATGTAAAAATGTGTTCCTCTCTAGCAAACATTTTTATTTTTTTTTTTACAAAAATAGCTTTGACTAGGGATAGCTGCAGTTTGAACTATGTCAAACGTTGACAAAAATGAAGGCTGCAAGTAACAAGTTCATTTCTTTTGAAGTCTGGAGGTAGGTCTTTGCAAGTCAATGAGTCCATTTCCTTAAACAATTCATCGGAGGTACAAACTTGGAGGGTGATATTTAAACATTACAGTCAAATTCTGTGTGCTGTGTAGTGTGCGATTGAGGAGAATGATCCTTAAGAACCTAGGAGCGACTTGGTTAAAAACAACAACAAAACTATTCAAGTTAATGTAGAAATCTAGCAGAGAAGCTGAAACAAGTATTTGCAAAATTTTAATAAAAAAAAAAAACCATAGAAAAATACATAGCCATGCTGAAACACAGTAAGGAGACTGCTTTGTTAACTGTGGTTTAAGTGTACACAAAGAACCGCGGTTAGCTTCACCTGCCCATGAAGTTTGTCTTTCTTGCATTGTTTGTGTATAGCAGCATGTAAAAAGTACTAGACTGTAAATTAAGTGTAACGTTCAGAGGTAGTATTGAGTAGTGGGGATATATTGCATCTCTGGCTAAAAGTGCAGTTTGAATGAAAAGACGGTGAGCTGAAGCCAAAGAGAAACACCTCAGTCAACCATCCTATGTCAAAACGTGTTACCTGAAGTAACACACATAAACTTAGTTTGAGGTAAGTGGTATACAGGTCTTTCACGGAAAGTGATACACAATGAAAAGAGGCAGAGAGAGAGGTTGCTTTTTTTTGTTTGCTTTTTTAAAGTTGTAGCGTAACTATAGCAAAGGAAATTTAGATTTCGCTCCTACTCATCATTCAGGTGAGTTCATCATGCATTATTGTTGTACCTTTTCATTAAATTACAAAGAAGACGGTTTTACTTGTCTAGGTTCCTTCAGTGCTTGGAGGCTGACAAGTGTGATGGATTGCCGAATGGCTTTTGGCTCTGTGGGAAGCAGATCCTGCCCGGATGAGTGTTTCTCCTGAAAGAGCGTGACAGGGGCAATGGGCTCCCCTACTGATATGTGATAGCCATACATATGGGAGCTGGCGACACTCGTGTGCTTACTTCCCTTTTTGAAAAAAATGAGCATAACCTTTTCTGGTCTGTTAGCTGAATGAAAGGACACATCAGCATTTCGTCTGGTTTAGAAATAAAAGAGTAAAAACAAAAAATCATCAAGTGTCTACAAGATTATATGAAAGGGAGAGAGAAGTCGTATCTATTCCTATCTTTGGTTCTAAACAGAAGCCTCACTACGTGAGCGGGGTGGGTGACGTTGGGGGCCGCAGCGTCACACACGGCGCCTTTCCTACGTGAATGAATGCCCGGCGTCACGGGGGGTGACAGGATTCTGGTCTTTGTGCAGTGCAGCGATCGACTAAACCTGATTCGAAGTTTGCCTCACCCACCCACTCCTGCTTATCAGATCAAGGAACTATTAGTAGGTTAAGAGAAAAGAAAACAGTAATTAAAAGTTGCATTGTTAAATGGTGTCCCCTGTGTTTACAGCAGTTTTTTTCACTAAAACCTGGGACTGTGAAGGGATTACAAAGAAGGTGATTAATATAGTCCTTTTTAAGGTTATGTGATTTCTCCTCCCCCAGCCCCGCCCCTCCCCCACCCCCCTGCCCCGCCCCAGATGGAAGTGGAAAGACCATGGCAACAGAAAGTAAGTGGTCACTGCAGTGTCTTCTCCCTTCAAAAGATCCAACTGCTGCTGAGGTAGAAATCAAACGTGGGCACCCCCTAGTCCTCTTCTGCAGACTCTTGTGAGGATGTCTCTTCAGTCTCCTCCTGGAATACACAAAGGCCACAGCATGAGACGCGGGGGCTGCTCTGACACGGGTCAGAGGGTACCCGTGCCCACAGCACCCTGTGCCCCCTTCACTAGAGGATGCGGCGGATGGGCAGGCTCCGCATTCCCAGGGCTTCTAAATCGGTAATTAAGGAACTGAGGTGTAGTTTTTCCCCAGAGCAGTCATGAGCCCCTGTTGACTTAAGGCTTGACATCAAGGTGGCTGGTCAGCAAATTCAATTGTTTGCCGCCCAGAGAATGTCAGGCCAGTGTAAGCTTCCTCACCAAATGAGGGTAAAAAAAGAAATGGGTCAATTTTTTCCCCCACAGCATGCCACTCATCAGTTTTCAAAACCCGCGTGCAAGCAAGAAAAAGAGAGTCCGGGAGATCCTTACTTAGGCATAAATAAAGGTGTCCTTCAGATATTGGTCATAATAGCTGATGCTTTTATGGTGACTCCTAAATGCTTTTAGGGACCCTCTGCTATTATCCCCATTGCACAGGTGAGAAAACCAACGCAATGTACCAAGGGCCAGGATGAGGGCTGTCGGATGGGCGTCGGAACCTGTGTGCGACCACGAAGCACCCGAGACCATGCAGTGTTAGCCTGAGTGAAGGCGGGAGCCTGAGCTCAGGCTGCAGGTGCCGCCTCCTCACGTCCTCTCTAAACGGGGTTCCTCGGTGCACGAAACTCCATTTTAAGACAATGACCGAAATTTGGCATCACTGCTCACTCTCAGTGCTAGATCCACACCAACCAAACATTTAACGCTGGGCTGGCCAAGCAGAGAAAATCTAATATGTATGTTTTTGCAGGGCCTCGTCTTCCTATAAATCTAATTGCTCCTTCTCTTTCCTTTTTTCTCTCTCTCCTGATTCCTCGTGGTTATGGAATTTGTTGGCGTTTCAGCAAGTCAGCTTGGGCCGCACAGCTCCCTTCCCTTTGCTTATTTTACAAATGTGCAGTGCCTCTCAGGACATGGGTGGTAAAGCGGAGACAATAAACATTGTTGATAAAAGCGTCGTTAGCGAGAGGATGATTTTTATCAAACGCTGTACACTGTCTCCTGCGACAGCATGTGAAAAAGATCTGGGAGAAGAGGTAAACATTTACCCCGGCCGCAAGCCGAGCCCCTTTATGAACGGCCAGCTTAAAACAGCTTAGAACAGTCTTCATACTTTAATAGATTTGATTTTCCACATGGCTTCATTTTGTCTGGGTGGCTAACTGACACAATTTATACCTCTCTTCCTTCCCCAGGTCACCACAGTACACCATTCAGTAACGCATGCCTTAGAGCTTGTCTGCATTATATGACCAAACTTCCATTCATTAGTGTTTGAAACACTTCAGCTGTGAAGGGCTCCTAACTGCTACCATGTGTGACGCTTTTGCGTAAAAGCAGCAAATGGGAGGAAGAAAGCCCACGTGAGCGGGCACTCACTTCACATGAATGCGCGCGCGCGCGCACACACACACACACACACACACACACACACTCACACGAACTCCATCCTGGGCTTTAATCACAAAGCTCTCTGCTTACTGCAAACCGTTTGCAAAAGGTTTCAAACATTCTTCCCCCCGCAAGATGGAGAGAGCTGTAAATCCTGGGACGAAACCTACCCATGGATGGGTTACGGCTTAGAAAATATAACCGCGGCAGTATCCAGCCACGAGATTTCACACCCGTTTTGTTTAGTCTGCTCCGGGTTATGTGGGAAATGTGGAACCTGTGAAGCTACCTCCCCTCGACTCCCAACCCCCGGAACTTCGGGCGTCACCATTTCGGCAGCACGTTCCCACCTCTTGATAGGCAGCGGGCCATGACCCCAGGACTCTCTGTGGAGTCCTGGCCACAAAAGAGGATGTATCCTGATCAAAGCCACGGACAGACCAAAGAAAGACAGGCCTGAGGTCAGCTGCCCTGTGACCTTCTCTTCTCACGTAGCATTTTAAACTCCAGAAAGCCACTAAGCTGTTTGGCAGATATTCCCTTCACCCATCCCCAAATGACTCACTTCTCATTATGACCCGAAGTGTGGAGTGAGGCTATGACTTTGAAACAGGCCGACAGGTATTCCTTTATTCCTACCTCTCCTGGTTAATCAATTAATAGGACTCAGGAAGGCTGGAAATCTGCCTCCTGGATCTAACCATAATGACTCCATTTCTCAGCGTTTCTATTCTATCTGGAAACCTCTTCTAAATCCAGAAGGAAACAGAATTTTCCAGGCCATGAACTCACAGAGACCTCGTGGCAGATGGAATGTGATCAGCTGTTCAGAACATTCCCAGAAACTTTGTTTAGTTTGAGCTCTTGAAGCTCCTGATATGCAAGCGGCTTATTCAAACCCCTTAGACACAATTCAGCCTAAAAAGGATGGTCCCTCGCACTGTTTCCCTAACAGCCCTTAAGACAACACAAATGGTTGTTTTACGAAGGTCTCTTTCCACTGACCTTGAAATTCTTCTGCTTGGGAGTTGTTAGTTACAGCACTGGCTCCATAGCTAGATCTCAGAGGGTGGAGGTAGTGTGGACTTTTGGAGGTAGTGTGGCTCTCACACGCTCAAATGGATAGTGTTCTCAATAGGCTACTTAGCGGAGAGCTCTCTCTCTTCTTCCCATAGCTGACTGGCCATTCTCCACAGGACAGCCTGGCTGCCAAGCAGATGGTGTGGGCAGGGCGTATGGCACTCACCTCTATAAACCTCACCTTTCCAGGGACTTGGTTGCTGTGACAAAAGTGTGCATATGGTTGAGAGAAGAAAAGTCCTCCCTGTTAGAAAGAAAGTTGGAAACCCACTCTCAGCTGCCCTGTGTCCTGGCTGGGCAGACTTCCCAGAAGGCTTCTGTCCCCAAAGAATCTTATTTCCATAGCAGAGTAGCTACTAGGCACCCCTCAGATGCAGCCCTCTTCATTCATGTAGAAGACACTGAAGTTTCTTATAGACACAGCTTGCACCTTGAGGTATATATTGACATTGCTTCATGTTTGCCACATAAGCCAAAGGACTTTTGAGCTTGTGTGGCCCCACAAGAGCAGCCAGACATCATATACATTTCATTAGGGGCTTGTCAACAAGGTGGGAAGGCCAAATAGCAGCAGTTTGGACAAGAAGGCCCAGTCCACCCTAGCTGGTTTGACTCAGTGGATAGAGAGCATTGAACTGCGCACTGGAAGGTCCTAAGTTTGATTCCAGTCAAGGGCACATGCTTGAGTTGTGGGCTTGATCCCCAGTATGGGTAGTGCAGAAAGCACCCGAGCAATGATTCTCTCTCATCATTGATGTTTTAGCTCTCTCTCCCACTCCCTTCCTCTCTAAAATCAATAAAAATATATTTTTTAAAAAGAAAGAAAGAAGGCTCAGTCCTGGAATGGCGCTTCTGGAATGGAGGATAAAAGGAATTTTCAAAATGGAAGTGCACTGTGACATTTTTATGAGCACCAGCCAACTAAGGGCTCTACATACTGAACAGCTGCTCGCCATTCACACACTTGTTTCACAAAGACAACTGAGGCTGCACCATACCGGGGCGAAACATGGGAATTTTTTTAGCATAAAATTGGTGAGTGGGAAAGAAAAGTGGACAGAGTTCGAGAACTGTATTTTTATTATGACTATTGAAAAATTGCACTCATTTTGCCTTAGTTTTCTATTGCAAATGGGGGGGGGGGAAGGAATTTAATAAATGTAACTCTTTTATTGCTTTGGTTAAATTTAGAAAAGAGCACACTACATCGTAGAAATATGGCTTGCACCTATCTTCATTCTTTTTTATATGGTTTGCACCTATCTTCATTAATTTTAATTAATTTATGGCATTAATTGTTTTTAACGCCAAAGAACGCACATGGCATATACCTTTGGGTATGCTTCCACGGATTGCTCCAAAGGAGGAAGACAGCCCAGTATCCAATTCCATCTCCTAATGCTTGATGGAATTTTAAGATGTCTTAAGAGCTGAATCCTAGATCTCACCACAGAGCCAGCCAAGGGAGGGGTGGAGCTGGAGGAAAGCTCAGTATCTGGGTTTAATGTTCACGTGCAGACTACATAACAGGTCTGCAGTGGGAGGGAGGCCACTGAATCCTAAAGAGAACCACGAAATGGAAATAGCTTCCCTGCAAACTTGCAGAGTTTTGTCACCAGGATGTTCCTCTTTGTGTGTAGTAAGGAGTCTATGTTGGCTTTAACCAATTTTTTTTCCTATTTACCCCCCTGATTGCAAAGAATTTCTGCAACTCTTACTGTAGGATAAAAACACAAGTAAAATTTGTAATTTAAGCTACCTTGCAAAACAAACAAACAAACAAAAAAAACCCCCCACAAACAAACAAACAAAAAAACCCCTACAAATATCTGATAATCTAGAAATGGCTTCATGACAGACTCCTTTTGTCATCTTCATATGTTTAATTTTTGTTAAGGACTTGGAATGACACCTTTAAGATATTTTCATGTCCACGGCTATCTTGAGTCAGACCAGTCCGAGCAGAAATCATGTGCTCTCCTCGTCAGCAACAATGATCAGAAATCAACTAACATTCTGTCTCCGCCCAGAAGACCACAAAGCCAACTGTCTCTGTTTTTCTGTCAGATATTTTAACCTCCAGTGGATCAGGACCGTTTAACGTAATGGAAAGTGATTACTTCCTCCAACTAGGAAAACTTTATATCAGGTTTATAGAAAATACATTAAATGGATCATATATAAACCATAGAATCTGGCAAGGATTCTGGTGGAAATGCTAGGAGGCAAATCTGCTTTGCAAAAGGAGACATAAGAAGTTGAGATGTTTATGGCAGCTGTTCCCCATCTTTTGTCTATGGTAGCTTTATGTATATAAAAATATAAAAGTATAAGGACTACCTTGTATGTGTTAGCATCAGCTTACTGTAGTCTGCTCAAAGGCCTTATTGGGGGTTGGTGACAAAAGAAGGTTGACCCTAGATGTCACTGACCACAGCACCAACCCTGGAATGAATGGGTTGTCTAACCTGTCTTAGTCCCACTGTGTCAGACTGGTAGGGATAAAACCCATCTACTTGCCACTCAGGGTGGGAGGAACAATGTGACAATCAAAGGGGGGAAAAAAAAGTAAAAATCTTATAAGACTACTAGGGGCCCAGAGCATGAAATTCGTGCACTGTTGGGGGGATGTCCCTCAGCCCAGCCTGCCTCCTTTCACAGACTGGGTGCCCTCAGGGGATGTCCATGGGGAGCGGGCCTAAGCCACAGTCTGGCCTCCCTCTGTGGAAGGCAACCGGGCTGATCAGGGGAAGGTGCCAGCCCATCACCCCGCTGCTGCAGTCACTGCCAGTCACCACAGGTGTTTTCATCAACATGGACTCTAGTCCCTTCACCATGAAAATATGACAACTTTCTGTAGGCATTTTCAAGATGTGTCTTTCATAAGATGTGACATTTCTTTTTTTCTTTTTCTTTTATCCTCACCTGAGCATATGTTTCCATTGATTTTTAGAGAGTGTGGAAGAGAGAGACAGAGAGAAACATCAGTGTGACAGGAACACTTTGATTGGTTGCCTCCTGCATGAGCCCTCACCTGTGCCCCAGCCAGGGAGGAGCCTGTGACCTAGGTAAATGGGCTACAGAGGAATCAAACCCAGACCCTGTGGTCAGCAGGCCAAGGCTCTATCCACTAAGCTAAATCCGCTAGGGCGGAGTATGACACTTCTTAATCCCTCCAGTAGCAGACTTTCATTTTTTCCTCCAGGAGTGAGGTGGAAAAACCCTAGATCAACTTCTTGGATTCTTATTACCCAAGTTACCAAGAACACTGCAAGTGGTGGTGTACAGGGAGCTTAGCCAACGAGCGGTCAGAAAAGGTGTTTACACTCAAATTGGTTTGGCTCAATGGATAGACCTTGGGCCTGCAGACTGAAGGGTCCCAGGTTTGATTCCTGTTAAGGGCATGTACCTTGGTTGGGGGCACATCCCCAGTGGAGAGTATGCAGGAGGCAGCTGATCAATGTTTCTCTCTCATCAATATTTCTGACAGTCTATGCCTCTTCCCTCTTCTCTGTAAAAAAAAAAAAAATCAATAATATATATTCTTTTTTAAAAGAAGAAGGTGTTTCCTCTGTAGCCCATATGCAGAGGATCCCCTGCATTGTGTCCACTGGGCTAGGGGCATGTCCCTACTTTGCATTTGCTGTGTTCGCTGGGCTGGGGGTGTGCTGCTTGTCCCAGGACCCAGGTTGTTTGGCACTGGTGTCTGTAGGCCACTCCTGGCTGGGGGTGTTCTGGGACCCTGGTCACTCAGGGCATATTTGTGGGCCTATAGGCTCAGAGCGGTCTGGGTCCTGAGGATGTTCCTGGGACCCAGGCCACTTGGAGCCCATGTATGCAAATGAACCCACCAGCTTTGTCAGGTTAATCTGCATACTCACTCCTGATGGCTGGTGGGTGTCACAGATGTATGGTCAATTTGCATCTCTCTCTCTTTTTTTTTTTTATTAGTGTACTAATTAACTGTGATTATTAATTACAGTTATTCGTCCAGTGTTTATTTCTTTACCTGTGATCCAATAATAGAAACAAATAAAACAAATAAAACAAATAGAAACAAAAAACAAGACATCTTAAGTTTCTAAAATGTACTTCTGTTTGCCTTCTTTGTGCCCTCGACTAGAGTTTCATCACTGAAAATATGGCAAACACAGATCACAGATCCTTAGAATACTACAAAGTCCTTTACTGGGATGAATGGATATATAAAAATACCTCTAGAGTCATATCTTTTTCAGATAGGAAAGTAATTTTACGTTTAAACTAATTGAAAGTTTCAGGACATTATAAGCCATGATTTCTGAGGATCATGATCTTGATCAACTTCCTATTTTTAAATTACTTTTATATATTTTTATTGATTTCAGAGAGGAAGAGAGAGCTAAAAATATCAATGATGAGAGGGAATCATTGATCAGCTGCCTCTTGCCTGCCCCCTACTGGGGATTGAGCATGCAACCTGAGCATGTGCCCTTGACTGGAATCAAACCTGGGACCCATCAAGTCTGCAAGCCAATGCTCTATCCATTGAGCCAAACCAGCTAGGACAGCATAATCAACTTTCTAAGCCACTTCTAATTCTCACTGAAGGAGCCCTCACATATTAAAAAAAAATAAATAAATAACTAAAGGTATAGCAAAAGGATTTTGCATGAAGGAAGCACTCAGAAGGAGGAAATTTATTTCAACAGTTCCAAAACTATTGAGGAATATTCTTGTTTTTGTGCAAAGTACTTTTAAAAAATGGTTGTGGTGAAGGTTGCTTAATGGTTATATTCCAGATGTGTTTACTGATTAATAGACTAGGAGAAACCTTTTTGTTTTCTATGTGTATAAAACTTTGCATAACTTGTATTTGTTGCCAGGGAACAGAACATTTCTGGATTTTAACCATGACTGCACCAATCGTTTGTCATTATCCTAGGACTTTTGAGTAAGATTATGAAAATATCAATAACAATAGTAAGCCAATAAGTAATTATTTCATGAACATCGGAGTGTCCAGCAAACATTTCCTGAATGTAAAGGAAGTACCTTGGATAAAGCAAAGCATTTGTATTCAAAGATTAAGGATTACAATTATTTATATTAATTTGGGCCAGCAAGTTTGGCTAATAATAAGGAAGCTTACATATTTAATAAATATGTTGCTTTATATCCAACTCACATCAGAGTGTAGAGAAAAAGAGGCAGTCATTGCCATTTTATTTCTAGTCTAACACACAGACTTCACCACACGTTGAA